CGCAGTGTGAAGAAACGACTCTCGGGTGTTGGCGCTCCGAAAGGGCAGCGGTCGGGTGCAGACGAGCAGTCGCAATGCCAAGTGGAGAACGAGTCCGTCTCTGCCCTGTGCCCCATATTCCCCCCTCGGAGCGGGCCTTTCTGCCCGAGGTTCTTTCCCGCTGTGTTGGGTCTTCCAGGGCAGAAAAAGACAGACGGACAGACACTTTTCGAGCCAGCCGAGGCGTCCCCCTTCTCTGGCGGATCCACCTGCTGCTTCCCAGCTGCTTGCCAGGCTTCTGGGGGCTCTTCGGAGACCGGCTAGTTTCCCCTTGCTTTCCGTAGCCTTTCAGATTCGTAGTTTTGAGTATGGTACGCAGAGTGAGACATTAGGATTGGACTTAAAGACAGCAGCGCTGTATTCTTCTGCTGTTGACCAGAAACTTCTGTGTTGTAGCAGCATGTTTTTTCCACCTCTTTTTCTTACTTCTTTGCATATCCCAGGCCCCTCTGCCATAGCTGGAAAGTACAGCAGTCTTACTGTGCAGTTTCAGATTTGGTAATGCCCATATCACTTAAAGTATGCTTACTTAAGGCACTATTTGGAACGGATTTTTGCTGTGTTTCAAAGAGTAATGTCTGCATAGAATGGGTATGAAAATGTGCGGGTGTTCATTTCTGATGCTTATGAAAGTAGGCTTTCCTTAAAAGCTTGTTTTCTCCTACTTGGTGCCAGCTGTCCCTTAGCAAGCCTGGGGGATGGAATGTGGATGCCACAGAAACTCAGTTTCCTCCGTGTTCATACAGATAGTAAGCAAAATGATGCCAGGGAACATACAAGGAATGTGCTTGATGAATGTAAGGCATGGAAATGGGTCAACTGGAAAAGACCTTTTTATTTCAAATCAAGCTGCTGAGATACTGTAATAGACAATCTCATGAGGTGACCTGGTCACTGTAGTATGGCCACAAGTATGAAGCTTTCAGAAGCAGGGTATTGGGTATTGGTGCTTTCTGGGTGAGGACGTGTTGGCTTTGTTATTTGGGCTGTTGACTGTGTTACCAGAATCTCTGAAAAACACCAACACAGTTGTCCTTGGAGCTTAGGGTGATACTCTTTTTATAAATAGCATGAAAACAGTAGTTCATCTTCCCTTTTAAAAAAAGTTAACAAATATTTGTGAGTTACAGACTGTCCATTTTCCTTCTTAAATTTAGTAACACCCACACTCTATAGTTATCATAGGTGTCACATTACAGCAGGCAAAAGAAGTAAAGGTATCTCTGTATACAGTTGCTACAGTCACTTGTAAAGAGTGTGGTTAGCATGTAACTATATGCATATATATATATAAATTTTATATATGTGTTATGTATACATGTGTATCTTAGACTCATTGTCTCTGTGAGGCTTGCTTTTCCTCCTTCCTTCGAAAGTGAGAAACTTCTCTGCTATGACAGAATGTGTCCAAGAGAACTGGGCTCTAAAGTGTTATTCTCTTGGCAACACCTGTGCTTTCTCTGGCTGTTTTAATAAAGGCACGAAGTTTTCCCACATGTAGTAAGAATGCAACTACTTAACTCTTTCTGAGGGATTATGGTTTTCGTACTGGAGCTGCATCTAGAGAGAAGGACTGGTCCAGCAAAGAAAGCTGTTTTATTTTACTTTGGTTTCCTCTTCCTGTAGAAACACTAAATATCACAGAACTGAGCCTGGGAGATGGTTGCTTTGTCTCTAGATACCTTGCGTGCAAGGGTCCACCTTGGGGAAGTACCCACCTAAGAAAAATGACATGGTCTAACATAGAAACACAAAGTGTTTTCTGACCATGAGTTTGTCTTCAGGTTGTTATTTCACACTTTGGAATGTGTTTTTTATATGCAGATTCTGTAGCTTATTTTGGAAGATTTTTTTAGTAGTGAACTTAAAGTAACTGTTAAGTTCAGGAAGCTTCCCAAGGTTTAAAATTGGCATCTTCATCAGTAACAAAATGACTCTCCAGCGTTACCCAGAATACAAGTTTCCCAGAAGACAGGCCTCCTGCCAAGGAATTTACATCTATTTACTCTTGGGCAATTCTGTGCTGAACAAAGCCAAAACTGGGAAATGTGCTTGTTATCATCCAGGCGAAAGCCTTTGAGACGGTCATTTCTCTTTGAAGGAGAGCGTTTGGGTTTAGTTTAGTACCTGTCACTCTCCGATCCTGTCTTCAGGTTTTTGGGGGGAGTTTTGTGCGTTATCATATGTTTAAGGTACATGTGGTTGAGCCTGTGAAATGGTAAGAGAGCTGCTCTTTTATTTACATGAAATGGAAGATGTTTTCAATAGCCTTATTTTAGATAAGTATGCGCAAATGAGTGTTGTTGAAACACTTTAAACTTTAAAGCTACTTTAGTGGGTATATTTTGGAATAAACATGTTCTCTTTGAATTACTTAGTATCAGTGCAAAGATACAGCACTAAAGCAATTTTCTTTTCCTCCAGGAGAGTTCACTGGAATTTATAAAATGCAGAAATAGGTGTATATCTGGATGGTCCCACTGTCCGCTAATCATTGCTGTTTGGGGGAAGAAAAAACGCAGACGAAAACCTTGGAGGAGAGCAAGGCAGCATATTAGCGTAGCCAGGAGGCCTGCGCGTCTCGGCACACCAGGCTGAAGAGCGAATCCTCGAGTGGTGGTGTCTTGCAGGTTGCCCTACCAGGAGCGTTCCTCCGGTGCCGCTGCCTGTCCCTGGTTCCAGCAGCGTTGTTCCCAAATGTAATAATGACAGGCAGCAGTTTCCCTCAATCCTGCGAGTACCTTTACATTGTGGACAGGGTGCCCTTCCTTCTGGGGTTTTGCACCGTAAAATACTTGATTTTAAAATCTTTGTGAAGGACAGGGCAAGGGATAAGGCAGCAAGCTATATACAGCAGTAATGAAAAGAGCTATTTAAGAAGAGGGTGTAACAAACTCTTAATTAGATATGAGCTAAAATAATGCTGTTCCAAATTCAAGTCAGCTGCTTGGAATGTGGAAGGGAAGCTGAATCCCTTACAAGTGCCAATTAACTTGAGTGAGCTGGTAGATGAACTCGGGTGTCTTCCTTGCTTGGATCAGCACATTGCAGTGAAATACTGAGTTCTTCCGCCAACATCTTTTAGTTTTGCCATGCTAGTAGCGACCCTTAGAGATTAATGAATAGCTTGCATGACCACTTGCATTACTAGTCTGAGGTGGAAATAACAAAATTCAAGATTTGTGGGTTTTAAGCTTACCTATAATGATGTACTGACAGTGTATGTGATTTTTGTGTAAACTAAGTCTTGCCAAATGTAATCTCTTAAGCTTGCAAGCTGAGTTGAAACAGGTAACTAAAATTAGATTCCTGTGAGATTTTTTTGGCTCTAACTTGTGATGTGTACACCATGAGGTAGTCAGCATGTAACTTCAGATGAATTTTAGAGCACTGATTTCCATACGGAGGCCATCTGCTTGAATTTGCAGTGGCATTAGGACAAGAATATATATTCTTGTAACCCTTACCCAGATAACTGTCAGGAAGAAACTGCAGAATTACTGCTGGCAAAGCCTGCAGATGTCATTGACAAGTCAGTTCTGTAGAAAACGATGCTTCCTCAGTATTTGTTTGAACCATGTAGTGTTTTGAACCAGGGATCATCCACCTGGGTACAGGACAGTGGCCGTGCGGAGTGGGAGACAGTGGCTCTGAAAGGAAGGAGGGCTGTGAGCGATGGCTGACGCTGAGGCGTGCAGCATGGTAGCCGAGGACCACCATGAATCTTGGACCTGCTGAAGGTCAAAACTAGAGGCAGAGAGTTACTGGGAACACCACAGCTGAGACTGCTTGAAAATACGCTTGAGAACGTGATGGCTGTTGGAGAACATTTAAGTGATTTGTCTGTGGGAAGAGTCTTTTGATAGCTCCTTTGCTTGTAAAAAAAGCGGTAGTCGTTGGTCAAAAACGTGGTCTTGTGGCTGTTAAAAGTTGGTATTCCTGCCTGAAGCTGGGCTCCCTGCATCCTCCTCTGCCTGCTTACTGCCGCTGTCGCCGCTCCCACAGCACGGCCCTGACTGCTGCGCGTTGTGCCGGCAGCAGGTCTGGGTCAGTGCTCGGCCCTGCGCCACAGTTCCACGTGAGGCCACTCGGATGCCTCTCCCAGCAGAGGGGAGAGGGGCACGCTGGTGTCGCTCCGCTCTGGGAGGGTATCTGGGAAGCAATGGGTCTTCGGAAGGTGGTGGCCACGTGTTCTGGTTTAAAATTGTTTCAGCCGAGTTGTCTCTTTCCAGCGGTGGCTGTACTACATGCATGCATCCGATGACATGCCAGTATGTTGTAATGTGTAATAAAAGGAATTCTAATGAACTCAATTTTACTGTGGGTGTTGATTTGACTGTTCATGATCTTGCTTTTGTAACTATATTGACATGAGCTTTCTGATTCTTTGAATAAAAGCTTCCTTTTTGATGGTAAGAACTGGTCCTGAAACATCTTGCTCCCCACTCCCATAAGCTGTGCCCTTGTGGTACAGCTCTCGCGACTTCCTCCCCTCTGCCTACCTCCAGTACCTAAGATTAATGAATATGCGAGCATTTAAAGAGGCTATATGTAAGCTGCTGCTCTTTGTATTTGTTACTTTCTTCTTGTTTAGGTATCTGTAAAAGAATCTTAGTTAAAATTTATTTTGTAGGATAACTGGGATGATGAGGAGGAAGAGGAGGAGGTAAAGGAGACAGAGATAAAACAAGGTAAGACTTAAAAGGAATATGTGGCTCCGTACACGGCGTCAGAACAGACACTGGTTTTTTTCTCGAGTGTATCTGAAGAATCAAAACCACTTAATGGGTTGGTTTTGTTTTTGACAAAGCATGTCTTTTAACTCTGTGTTCAGATTCCAGTAACTGAGCTCTATGGCTTTCTCTTTGATTAGTTTTTCTATAGTTTCTGGGAAAAAAAGAATCGGTAGAACTCCTGAGTGCTCTGTTGTTCAATGTTTTACAGAACCAAAAGTTTCAGAAAAAAAGAAAATAGCAGAAAAAATAAAAGAAAAGGAAAAGCTACAGAAGAAAAAGCAAGAGGAGCTGAAAAAAAGGGTAACTCCTTATTTCTTCCAGGTCTCATAAAATTTAGAGGGCAGGTTTGATTTTTTTTTTTTTTGAGGTTGTACAAGGCCTGTAAAGTTCTTGACTAGTCTGGTAAAACATTGTCTTGTTTTTGTGGTAAGTCTTGTATTTCCTAACATCTTGGGGATGTTAGCTTTAATTTCTCTGTAATTTAACCAGTCATTGAAATAATGCTTATCTCTGTTTCTTTCGTATGCACCGCATGATAAAACATGCAGTCGTGAAACTTAGAACTAAGGTGTTTCTTCCCACTTCTTGTAAAATGAACAATTTATTAAACAGCGCGGTATTGTTACACTTCATTGGGATGGTTTTCAGGTTTGTACATGCTTGAGGTGTACTGACTTCAGGCAGAAGTAAGCTATTTAAGTGGCACTGGAAAAAACGTGATTTGTTGTACTACTTCTGCGCAAGGGTAAGAAATATAACGTTCTCCCTATATACATTTTTTAATTCAGTTAGAGGCACCGGAGGAACATAAAGAACTTACCCCAGAAGAACAGTTAGCAGACAAACTACGACTAAAGAAGTTACAAGAGGAGTCAGACCTTGAGTTAGCAAAAGAAACATTTGGTAAGTGTGCCTGGGTCCAGCAAGTCCATGTAACTGCAGCAGCACAAAAGCGCTGTATCCTCTAAATACAGCTGTTCTGTGTGGATACCCTGCAAAAAGAACTGAGCAGGACTTGACTGTCGGAGCATGTGCAGGTTGTGTTACTGTGAATAAGGAGGGGTTTAAATTCCAGCTACTGGAGGCATGTCCTGGTACTTGGTACTAATTGCAAGAACCACAAAAATATCTTTAGACTAGAAGGTGCTTTTTCTTAACATGTCATGGTAGGAGGTTATAGGAAGAAGATGGCTGACTAAATTTTCCAACATACTTGTACTTCTGGTAAAAAGATGAGTGTGTAAAATTAAAAAAAAAGAAAGCGCTGTGTCTCAATGTTCTGAGGTGCTTTACAGCATGGATTTAATGAGGCTTTGGACAAGCGTGGCACAGCAGAACTCATGCATGCTTTACTTCAGGCGATCTATGCAATAGGCTAGACGTTGAGAAAGCCAGTTAAGTTAGTGGAACGAGCTTGTTTCCTGGTGTAGACAAAGTAGACTTAAAGCAGATCATTCTGGTTTTGTGCTTTGACAGAACTAGCAAAGGTACTGATTCATAGCAGCATTCTTCAAACATGAAAGCGTGTTTCCTTCATTATAGTGAATTATACAGCTTATTACTCAGTGAAAATTCTGCTCTCTGAGTCTTCTGAAAGAGTACAGTGCCTTGGGAAGGGGGTTGCATTGAATACAGTTGCAAAGAAAAAACTAAATTTTGCCCTTTCAAGACAGAAATCATTTATTTAAGAGGAAAGGGGCTTCACGTAGTGCATGTTGCTTCAGAGAACAGGAATAGCTGGTTCAAATTATGAAGTTTTGCAGCAAAATACCTTTCTGTACAGGCTAGTAACTCAGGCTGTTAGCTTTTGTGTGGCAGAAGCCAGTGGGGAGTGAGCGAGCAAACCTCACCTTTGGTTTTGTAAGGCTTCAGTGGAGGTTAGGAACTGTTGAGGTTACTTGTTTCCTCTGGTGTCATCTTTTAGGGATCACAGCTAATGTTTTCTATAATACCTCTGTCTCCATGCAGGTGTAAATAACACTTGTGGAATAGATGCCATGAATCCTTCTTCAAAAGATGACTTTACGGAATTTGGCAAACTACTAAAAGAGAAAATTACACAGTATGAAAAATCATTACATTATGCCAGTTTTTTGGAAGCATTAGTTCGAGACGTATGTATTTCATGTAAGTTAAGCAGAAGACATCCTGGAATACACTGCTACCAAATTGTAATGGACTTGAAGTTGAAAACATGCTGTTACAGTAAATGTTAAATCAAGATTGATATATGTAGTTTATACTAAATGAAGTACTAATCTGTTTCACTGACTAGTATCCAATTCTATTCCAACCAACTTTATTACAGACTGTGTGCCTGTCCAAGAGTTAGGCTTTCTGCATGTCTGTTGAAGACAAGTCACTTTAAAAAGTGAATTTTTATGCTGATGTAAATCTTGCATGTTCTTCTGGAAGCCATTTCAATAATAATAATAGTAATAATAATTCTCTAAGCCAGATAACTTGAGTACCTCATTTGGAAGGAAACTATTCTAAAATTGAGTCCGTGTAATTCTGGGACTGCAAAAGAGATTGTTCTGGAATTCAACTATACAGAGAGAAAACTAACTTAAACTCATTTTTTTCCGTTGCTCTGGTAGGCTGAAGTACTTGGTGAACTCATTGCTTGAGGTCTTTTCCTGTACTGTACACATGTTGTCCTTCAGTGAAGTAGTAACTTGATGCTATTTAGTGCTGTATAAATACAGTGCTCACTGGCTGACTGGAGCTGGTAACTTGCGTTTCAAACGGATTCCAGATCTTCTGAAGTGAAGGACTCACGACCTCTTGGACCGTTTATCGTTAACAATAATTTATTGATAATCCACTGCTCCTTTTGGTAGATTTTACTGTTTGAATGCCACCTTATTAAGACTTTTGAGTTCACTAACTCTTAATTTGCAAGTTTTTACCTTCTACAACATCCGCACTGCTTATAGGGACTGTCTGAAATAGTAATTGTGATTATAAGGACCAGAGTTACCCAGTCTGTATTTTGCTCATTTAAATCAAGTAGCTGCCTATACTTATTACTAATGCTTATTTTTAGAGAATGTTGATGTTAGATTATTTAACTGCCTTCTAAGAACAGTACTGATGAGGGATTTTTTTTTTCTCCTCCCCCCTGCCGATGTAGTGGAAATTGATGATTTGAAAAAGATCACAAATACTTTGACAGTACTATGCAGTGAAAAACAAAAACAAGAAAAGGTAAGAAGACTTCTGTGTGTTTCTGCAGCAATAACAATACCTGCTGAAGGGGCTGATCTAGAAGATGGCAATAGGTTTCACACTGACTAGAACTGCTGATTTTGTTATAGGTGGTAGCAGGAGATCAAATTATAACCTTGGATACTGGTTTAGTGTTAAATCCTCTTCACTGTGTGAGGTAATCAAGAGTTGATTGAATCTAGAGATCACAGGCAAAACCTTGATTAATTTACATAAATGTTAGCTACGTGCTAACCTTGTTCCATTTGACACTGTCGTGGAGTTAAAATGGCTTACAGGGATATCCTGAGGACAGGAGCCAGCCTCATTTAGAGCCACATGCCAATATAATGCCAATCTGTGGAAGGAACTTAGATCTTTGCCAAGTTTGGGATTTTGAATAGCAGATAACTGAGATTTTTACGCTGTCACGCGAACTAAAGGAGCGGTAACTGCATAGGCAAGGAAAAGGGTAAGTTTTAAACGGTGATGCAGTAGCTTAACTGATGCTGATGCAGACCTTGTGGTTTATAGCATATGTTAAAACTCTAGGTAGGTCGGAGTTCAGTGATCTAGTGATTCAATTAATAGCAACAAATTCGAGCAGAAAATATGACTCATAGCACAAGTCTTTTGGTATGTTTTAAATCAAATTGGAGGATTGTTAGGAAACAAATGGCAGACAGAGCGTTGCCAATGTGAGTAGTAACTTGTCGGTGTAAAATGGGAAACTTTTTAGGCAGAAACTGCTCCAGTGGCAGGTGTTCTTCTGTGGTGCCAGTCTAGCTCCCCAGGCCTGAGAGAAGCACCTCAGTGCAAAACAAACTTTATGTACAGCCTTGATGCATTAAGTCTGGAGTTTGGCAAATGTGATAAACTGGTTCTTTAATATGAACTGCACTTTGGAGAGAAGCCTGGGACTTACTGAACCAAACAAGTTTAAAAGGAACAAATCCGTATACTTCCTATTTTTACACTCTTCTCTCCGAGCTTTTCATGTAAATTAGTTTGTTCAACCACTGAAAGGTACAAGTACACCAATCCAGTAACGAAGAGCTTTACTGTGGAATGTTCTCTAAAGCTTGTTTAGGACTTCCAGTTTTTTGCAAGGAGGATACTCAGCCACTCTGGTGACAAAAGTCACATTAAATTCCTTAATTAAATCGATAATTTCACAAAACGAAGCAGTAGACTCTGCATTTATTTAGTTATTCTACTTGTTTAAAGTCTAGGTAAAATAGGAGGAAGGACAAAATGTGGGCAGGTACGCGATGCAGGGAGCTGCGCGACACCTGAGAATGGCAGAGCTTTACCGTGAATAGGTTGCACTGCGGGATGAAATGCAGGGGTCGAAGCTGCAACTGAGCACTTGCCGCACGGGTGCATGAATGCTCGTGCCTCAAAGACATGTGGCATTATTCCAATTAGAGTAATGACAAATTAGTATGGATTTTTAAAGTGAACATGCTTTTCCTATTTAAGCAGAATAAAGCCAAAAAGAAGAAAAAAGGTGTTGTGCCTGGAGGTGGTTTAAAGGCTACTATGAAAGATGACCTGGCTGATTACGGAGGATACGATGGAGAATACGTACAAGACTTTGAAGACTTCATGTGACATTTATCTCCCCTTCTGTTGTCTTTCTGTTGCCCATAATCCCTTAAACATGTAGCACAACTTATCTTCCTTTAAATTCTGCCAAATGCTACAATCAAAATTGCAGTATCTCTGTGCTGGTGGTTCAACTCCTGATGGGTCCGTGGTAAAGCACTGGGCTTCCTCTTCTGGTCAGGGGTTAGAATGAAGACATTTAAAAGCTATGTAAATTGCAGTTAAAAACCCCAAATTCTCATAATGGTAACTGTTGCTATTTGGTTTTATAGTAACAGCCACTAAATTGGAAATGAATTTCAACACGGCGAACTATTATTACCAGCACATTTCAGTGACAAGGCCTTAACTGTAGCTCCTTGAATGACTTGTTTGATGAACGAAAGCAGTTTGCAGCAAGGGCATGGTGTGCACGTAGTATTACAATTGCTTTGTCTTAAGTTAGAGCTTGAGGTTTTCAGTATATTGTGAAGGGGAACTGCTAACTTCAGAGCGAGGGTATTGCACCTGGAAATGCATCACTTGATAATACCCATGGCTTCAGAACTTGACGTTGAAACGGAACACATGGTGGGTCAGGACAAGGAAAGAGTTGCTTATTTGGAAAAGAAAAGCTTGTGTCTGGAGTATGAAGTTTAGTTTCCATTCATCTAAATTTCTACTAATGCAGCTGTATGGGTTGGGTATTCTTTAACAGCTAATTGCCTGGTTTAAGTGTAAAAAAAAAAACAAAACCAACAAAAAAAAAAAACCCAGGACTTCCTTTTGATCTCTTATGGGTTGTGGTAGATCTTTCACGACTCAGCCATTTTCTTTCATTTAAAAAAAAAAAAACAACTTGCTTAGCAAACTGCAACAGTTACTACAGTTGGGCAAATTGTTATGTTAACAATTATGACATCTGCAATGTTTTATAAAGCAACTAATTTAATAAAAATCACTATTGAGGACTTCACTACAGCTGTCTTTGTTCTTTTAGTATCTTACAGTAAGACTCCTTGAAGCGGCATTGCTGCAGAGCAGGCGTGCGCTGGGCATGGTTACTGGGTCTGGTCTTTGCTCTGAGTTGCAGCTTAACTGGTGCTAGAGGGGTGAGATTTCATTGCTGGAAAACGGCTGTTTCTTACGGTAAGACTCTTCCAGATGCTGATGGTAAACAAAATACTTGTAGGACTGCCGTAATCCAAGCGTTTCCCTGACCAACTCCATCTTTTCTGTTGTTGCAACTGCTGAGTTCAGTGGCTCATACTTACCTTAGGAACAGTCTAGTGTGGTGCTTACCAGTACAAGCAGTTGTTCTCTTCCAGCTGGTAGCGGCCGTTACTGCAAGCAGTCCTGCATTCACAGCCTGCGGGTTACTCGCGTGTTTGTTCCTAATGTGGATGGGACACGTGTGTGCTTCCACAAGGCAGGCGTTCATCCAGATCCTTCCCCCTGGTCGTGGGCGCAAATCTTTAACGGATTCTCAGAAGGATAGCTCCCTTCATGCTAGGAACTTTAAAGTTCAAGCTAAAAGCTTACTGGCCATTATTTAACTCGGGGTAATCAAAGCCAGCTCGGACTAATTTGGTCTTATGAGGCTGACTAGAACCGGAACTGTAAATCAGGTTCTGCTCAGGCATAATCCTCACTACATAAAACATTTCATTTGTCAAAGGAGTGATGACTTGCACGATGTATACCCACATCCAACTTCTAGTGCTGCCGGTGCAGACCTGAGATGAAGACTGTGCAAGTAAAAATATTTGTTATATGCAGCGGCTGCTAGCATGAAAATGTTCTGTGACCAAAAGGACAGTGTAAGCTATAAATCCAAATTAACATCTCTTTGCTAATTAACTGGGTTGCTATGGCAATGGTATTTTTCTTAGGATATTGATAGTATGATACTACTGCTTCATTTTACTTAAAAGCTGTCTGTGTGCTATAATCAGCTGTCAGCCCTCCCCACCCCCCTTTTCTGGACAGGAGGTAATGTCTATCACTAAGCTAGAAAACAAAACCAGGCTGATCAGACTGGAATCAAAGAATGGCTTATCCTCATGTGTATCTAAAACTTTCTCGTGCTTATTTCACTGTCAATGTCCTGGATATTCTGCATGTTCTACCCTGGCCTTTTGTCAGTTTAGATATAATTCCTGTGGTGATCCACCATCCACACCCCCCTGATTTAAAGGACTGCTGAATCCCAGTGGTTCATCAGCTCTGCCAGTCTGTGGTGTTTTGTAAACAGTAAGATTTATTTCTTCTCTTAAAATCTCAGCATTTTAAATATTTACAACCACAAGTCTTCTGGAGTAACTTTCACATAGCAGCGTATCATTGTAAGCAAGTAGTTGATAAAAATACCTGTTACAGAATCGGTATTAACCATGCAGGAAGCTGTGGCACTGGTACTTGTCAGAGCCAGTCTCTACTTCATGGAGGTTGGATTCTAGTTTGATAACATGTCGTTAAGACAACAGCTAGTCTGTGCATCCTTCAGAAGTGTATTTACCACATCATAGAACTTGTTATCGTAAGCCAATCTGTAGTATGTGTAGATATCTTCACAGTAAGTGAGCAATTTCTTCAGATTTTTCAGAGCAGCATCAGTAGGTGGGTGTTGTTTAACTCTGAAAATAATTGTATGTAAAACTGAAATGGAAAGGCTTCACAGACAACAATTATAAGACTTGCTAGAGAACTGTAAGAACTGTCTTTCTTAAAAAAAGGTTGTGTTCAACATGTACATTGGATTCTCTTGGTTGTTTATTTTGCCCTGATTCCTATCTGACCAGCCCTAAGGCACCCTGTTTATCCAGCTCAATAAAAGTGGTAGATCCAGTGTTATTTCCAAAATATGCTTAAGAAACTGAACATAGGTCTCAAGTCCCTATATACTACACTTTATCACATAAAAGGTTTTAACGGTACTAAGACTTGCATGCTATTAAACATGGAGTTGCTCCTCTAAAGTAGCCTGTGGAAAAGAAAGTTCCACTTTGACCACAGAACTACTTACTTCCTAGCAATCTCCTCAAATGTGCCAGGCTTCAGTGGTCTTTGTTGTTTAAATTCTTCTAAGTAAGTGAAGTCTCCCTTAGTGATCACTTGTTGATACAGAACTTCAGCCCAATCTGGAACAAACTCGTAAGCCTCAGCCACAATAGCCGCCTGCAGGGAGAACAGATGCTGGAATTACTGAGCAGGAAGAGTTTATTCTCACACAGAAACATTCCTATACTTGGAATACTTGAAATACTCTAGGTCTCCTGTTTGGCCCATCTCTTGATGCTGTTCTCAGTTTTGTTACAAGGGTAACAAAACACTGCAAATAATTTTCCTTAACCCCTTAACGAGATGTCAAAGGAGGGGTTGGTTGTTCTCTTGAAAAAACACTTTTCTTTCTTATTTCCAAATTTCCAAACTGATGGATGCCAATGCAGATGAGATTTCAGGGCTCTAGGGTAGATTCACAGCAGCATGAGAGCCATGGGGTAGCCAAGGCCCTGGCTGCGCGATGGTAGCCAGCGAGCACCAGCAGCAGTCCGCACCGGGACTGCGCTTGCATTTCCAAGCTTGGTCCCACCCGCAGCAATACGATGGGTTAACAGTCACAGGATTTGGTGGCCATGTGGAAGAGCTGAGCATTATGCTCACAGGAGCAGAGTGCGTCAGTACCTGCTGTCCAAAGCAATCATTTTCGGAAAAAAATAACAGATGAGGAAACCAAGTTTACCTGGTAGAATCTAGGCAAGGACATGATGGAGTCCATCAGGTTCTGTCTGCTCAGGTTTATCAGCATAGTGCTCTGACCAGTGTTGAGAAAATGCAACTGGAGGGTTATCAGCTTTGTTAGCCGACTGCAGCGCAAGGACTGGCGGACGCAGGAGTCCTGTGTTATAAATCAATGACAAATGCAAGCTTCTGAGGCACGTTTCTGGAGGAAAGCAGTAAGTATTCCTGAGAGCAACAACGAGTTCAGAGTTGTATTTCATCTTTTCGATCACTGCAGTTTTATCATATTCCATTAGTTTTAAATGAAGCTTCACTCACCACAAATACTACTTTCATCATAATCCCACCAGTTTTTAAAGACTATACTGTTCTGTTCTTGATAGTGAAGTTCATGGTCACTCCTTTAACTGTAGATGTTAAAGCCTGAACAGGGAACAGTGTACTGCTCTTGGATACAATAGTGTGACCAAGACAGCTGGGGTACTGCTGGGACAGCTGACAGAGCAAGAGAGTCCTTTGCTCCTTTTCTACTGGGACAGGATTCTGCACACCCTTTCTTTGTTCTCCCAGTTCAGCTCACTCCTTCTGTGCTCTCAATCCTGTACAGCAGTCATACAATTCCATCTCATTTTACCTTAGAATAACTTTCTGCTGCATCAATAAAGAGAGTCAGAGCTTTCATCAGCAGTTTCTTTAAATTTGCAACATCCTGAAGAGACTCCTCTGAAATGGGGAAAAAAAAATTAATAACCTTTTATTTCTAAAGGTGACAAAGTAAGTTACAAAAATACCTCCTGGTACCAAGTCTGTCCCTAGTGTTGTTTCAGAAAGCAACAAAAGACTAAAAAAAAGTTGATATTAAAAGAGCATGAAGAAACAGCGATGCCTGTTGGGTTAAAGGACCAAAGCTACTGCTGGAACCTCGTCGAATGACTGAAGAACTGGAAAGAAATGCAACTCGCACGTTTGTGGTAGATACAAGAACTGACTAGTGCCAGACCAATTCAGAAAACCATTGGGCATAGCTTCTGTTTTAGTTCTTGCTGCAGTACTGGCTCACTGCTCCACAGTGAGATCTCTGTGTGCTCCCCAGCGTTCTGCCAGCTGTACAGAACTCACCAAGGTTGGATGCTGACAAGTTATCTTGCACAAACATAAAAACCCCAACACTTTATATATACACTATATAAAAACCCACTGTGTCACATCCCACTAAAGTGAGGAAAACATGCACGTGTCCTTACCTCCTCCCATGCATGGTACCACAGGGGCATTATGTTACAGTACGAGCCAAAAATCTCAACTCTTTGAAAAATACCAGAGCAGCCAGATAAACTGCTAAGTACAAGAATACCCCAAGCCTGGCAAATAGGGCCCTCC